ATTTTTATAAGTCTATGTTTTCTAGTTCTGGCCTACCCATAATTTTATTGTATTTCTTCATGTTTTCATAATGTTTAGTTAATTACTTACTTACGCCTGTTATTCCCAATGGAACATTGACCGCCGACCAGCATTATCCAAGCAACTCTGTCCTGGGACATCATAATGTTTATTCTTCGAATATTTATTACCAAACCTATAATCACACTATTTATGTGTACACTTTACTTATTCTGATTAGTTATGCAATCCATTTCATTGTTATCACTAACTCATAAATTATATTGATCACTTCGATATTTTTAATCAGTCAGTCAGCTACAATGTAGGACTGGGCAAATATATGCATCGGTTCAAGTTGCCAAACCTCATTAGCACAGCAAGATCAACATCAAATTCACAGAGGAAGTTGCTTCAATGGTAGTAATATATAAAAGAAAGATTGCATATAAGGATATAATACAGGAAGAAAGAATTAGTTCGTTATTGTGATCGATTCTGAGCCATGTCATCCAGACTCTCCAAGCATCGGTTACTATAGTCTCGCGGACCCCAACCAAGTAGCATGCATCTCCCAACATGGCTCAGACTTGAAGTTAGTGTCTTCAAGGACTGACGCCACATTTTAATTTGGCCGCTCCTAACTTTCTTCTAACCATACCCAATACTAGTCAGCACTGCGCGTCGTGGTAATCGCTGTTCAGACATACGCAACACATGGCCCAACCATTTCAGTCAATGAAGATTCACAACCTCATCAGCTGACTTACCATCATTCCCTATTACCCTGCGTCTAACCTCACTATGACTTACCCGGTGATCGCAGCAGATGCGAGCAACATTTCTAAGACATCTGTGGTCAAATATTAGTAGCTTACGAGTATCTTCTACTCTTAATGACCACGTTTCTCAGCCGTAAAGTAGAACAGAACGAACTGTGCATATGTGTATACAAATACCACTCTGTTAGAATCAAACCTGATGAAGATCAAAATAGGCAAACTGTTCTTCGCTTAGAAACTTTATTCCAAAATCGGACAAAATCTGTAATCCCGGTAGATTTGATGTCTGAAAATCTATTGAAGATATTCGCGAATGAAAGGTTAGGGGATTTACCCATGATCTTTATGAAGGAAACAGGATTATCCTTTTGATACATTCTCTAAATAACATACAGGCAAACCTGAGGATTTTCGGTGTTTGAAGAGATCTCTCTAAATTCTTAGATATGATAAGAATAAATGGCTGTTGTGTACAATCCCAGCGAGGTTACATCCGTTTTCTTGCTCATGTAGGACTAATACTGTTTGCAGTAAAAAACAACCTCTCTCGAAATATATCTAGGATCATTTTTCCTCAGATACGTCGTGTATTGTGATTATTAACTATTACCATATGTATCTTTCAAAATTGTTTGTAAAGTTAACCAAACAAGTTTAAAGGGAGTGCTGATTGCAAATCTATGTGCACAAGATGCGTTGATAATTCATCTCTGGAATGTCTATAAGTAACATGTTTAGTCATCTATTTAATAACGGTTTGCACCTCTCCCTACTTCTCATACCTCATAATTCTGTATTATCGTCTGTTTTTTATATTTCCGTATATTCATCAAATGGACAAATAGCTTTCATGCTACTAACCTATAAGCTGTTTCCACTACACATTTTTTAAATTACCATTTCAGTTATTACACAGTATCTTTTCCGAAAATTAAAAACTGAAACATTTTGTCCATAACTCAACATCTATCAAATGTGTTTTAAACTGAAGTGTACAGAACAATAAAAAATAAAAAATAAGTGATTTATTCAGGGATGAGATATCTAAACCGTCTTTACAATTCCTAAATGACATAATGACTTTCACTTATTGTTTTAGTAAACAATAATTAGTTAGCAAAAATGTAAACCTGTAAGTAATATACATGGAATAATGGCATTGCTATTCTGTTGTAGTGTCTGGTACCATGTTCTATGTACAAAAATAAACCGTTTAACTTCGTATATTACTTAGGCCAAGCCCGTTTGTGTGACGGCGGAAATACGAAATCAAATATGGGATGCGTTGGAGGAATTTATTTCAAACATTCGTTTTTCTACCCCAGGACAAAGTCAGATAAAGAATGCTGGTGAACAGCCTATGCTCCTTCACAAGGAGTAACAGGCGTAGGTAAGTAAGTAATTCGTTTTTCCAGACAGATATTGAGAATAAGAAACGGAGAAGGTAAAGAGAAGGCGAGTGAGTCAACTCCTTTTGATAAAGTGTGATTCAATATTTATAGCCAGACAAAAATAAGCTACAGACACATACTGAATAGGGTAGGCACTTAACACACATAAGGTCATATAAAAACAGTCAAGGTTAATAAGCAAATAATTGACAAGGTCAAAATGTCACTCAAGAAAGATAAATGAATTGGTCTGTCCGAAAGCTAGAATAACCCATACGGACTCTCTCATTGAGTGCCATAGATCTTTAAATTTGCACTAGCAAAATCACTTCTAGTCAATGCTATTATTGAACACGTACGGACATGTTTATTGAATTTAAAATTACAATTTTGACGAGACTCTTTAGATGAAAAGAGATTTAATTCTATTTTTATTGTTGGAATTTAAAATTTATGTACAATATACGTTTACATGTTAATGTGTAAATCAATAAAATGTTCTGGTTTATTTTACCCAAGATTACTGGGATACATATCATGCATGTCGACATAATAAAATGTTAGATTTTTGATAAAGACACACGTAAACATAATTTACAAATTAAAACATTTTGCCAGAAATTAGCATGTTGTTATTTTGATTGGTTAAGAAAAAGTGTACAAAGATAATGGTGTGCATTAGTCTAGCGATAGAAATTAGGTCGATTTAAGGTAAATTACGTCAATATGACTGAAATCTGTAGCAAACTTATACGAAGGCTAATAAAATGAAAACGTGGTAAGCAGGAAATATTTTTTTAAAATAAAATGGATGATAATGGCTAAATAATAAGGTTCAGAACTAGTCCGCGGTGAAAAGCTTCATCATCTTATGTGTTGGTCTCCAAACGAGTCTCAGATTCAATAAAGTTAAACTTATTTCTCACCTATATACGAAGCTATAATAAATGTCTTATTTTAAAGTAATGAGTTGTAATTATAATACATGTGTTTCAGCTGAATTTGAAATGGATTGAATTATCCCACTGTTAGTATTTTTGCCTGAATTTCTATCGGTCGTGGTCAGTATATGTGGGTATTGCGAGAATTGCTTCCAAATAGCCATTATGGCATAATTTAGCATATAATAGATGAAATATGACTAACAGTGGATTTCGGGGAGCCCATTTCATTTACTTAAGGACTCGTGAATAACACGATAGCTTTTGGAACGGACGGTAATGGGTTCGAGTCCCGAAGTGAAAACCAACTGTGAGATGAGTCCCAAATTGCACAGAATGAGCGTCCCGGATTCCACTGTCAGTCACATTTTATCTATTCTGTACATAATGTATGTGGTTGGGTTATCTAGAAAACTACATTTTTTGATTTGTACCTCCCTACTGAGTTGTTGAGACATTCTTGTCTGTAACCAACTAGGTCATAGGACCAACAAATTTTTTTATACATATGCTAAAATTCGACTTCAGTCGTAATTTTGATTACGAAATTAGGATGAAGAAAATTCATGATCAATAAAAAAACTAGTGATTATTCTTTTTGATTCTAAATGGTGAAAAATTATGAATTTCTCAAATTTTCCCAAAGTCATCATTCAGTTTATAAAGACTTCACTTGATTTGACCCATATAATTCCATATTAATTTTATGCAGTTATATATATATATATATATATATATATATATATATATATATATAAAGAATTTAGATGTATTTTGATCTATAAAGTAAGTAAATGTAATCTATTGCATTGAAATTTGAATCATACATCAACATTTATTATATTAACGCTAAAAAAACCAAATTGTTTGAAAATCTTCTCTCCGGTTATAAATAAAAATTTAAACAGGGTAAATATTTAAAATTCACAAAAAGGATCACTAGATTACATTCAGTTGATAATTTACAAAGACGTATCACAATTGATTGATCACTGGGTGGTGATCAATGTCATGCGTGTCTAGTCCTTATTAGTGCAGATCGAATGCTATCGATCATGTTGCAATGTGGTCACCAGCCTAGGTGACTCGACACTGCGGGCACTACATATTGAGATTAGATGGTAGTTGGAGGCAGTCGACAGGAAACTCTGGACCCGGGTGCAGGTACACCTTACTGACGAGTGCCAAGTAGCACGAAACCCAGGGTTTCCTGTCGACTGCCTCCAACTACCATCTAATCACAAAAAAGTATATTTATTATGATTATTTAAAACCTGACAACTAATAACACTAATTAGCTAGTAGTTGTCAAGTTTTTATGTTATTGCTTTAAAATTTTGTGACTTAAGGCTATATCGAAGCAAGCCACATAGGATGCATATTTGCCAATAAGAGACTGACCAATTACAAACCTAAACATCAATGGGAAGATTCAAGTAAACAGTACCAAGTGAATTTAAACTTCATATCATTGCACAAGCAAGTGACTTTCAAGACTCAGTAGTTAGGTGGATAAAGCAATGGTGTTTGAAGCGAATGGTACTAAGTTTGAGTGCTAGAGTGAATATCAACTTTGGAATTTAAGTGCATTCAACTGACGAGTCCCAAATAGAACGAAACGTGAGTCCTGGACACCACTGCTAGTACTATCTGTCTTTGCTTAAAAATCGTCGTAAACAATTTAAACATGGCGAAATGTTATTAGTTTCCTTTTCTTTTTTAAAAGTCTTTTTTGTTTGTTTTATACATTGAATCAGATAAATAGCTTATTTTAGACCTTAATACTCTTTAGATAAAAAGAATAACCAAACTGAAAAGGAAATATTTATCATTGCACATTAATTTTTTTTGTTTGTTTAAATTTTTGTACTTTAAATTTGACTAACCTCTTTTCCTGCGTAATACATCCAAACTAGTTTTTAAAGGAAAATTCTGTAAATAGAAATAGTGTAAAAGAAAAAAAAGAATTTCATTGTCAATTTCATTGGAATTTATAATCAATAAATGTATGTTGCATTTGATCATGATAAGTTTTCAAGTATCGTAACTACAAAAGATAATCTACCTGTATTTGCTACATTCATATTTACTCATGATGTCAGCTATTGAAATTACTATAATATCCACAAAACCCCTTCTGATTATAAAAATTAAAATATCAGAATGGGGGTTTGTGGAGATTGTAGTAATTTTAATAGTTGGATTCATGAGTCGATATAAGCTAGATTACCACTGAAAAGCTAGAAGCATTGGAAGGCCGTTTTGTTCTACTATGGGAGTTCTCAGAAGTGCGCATCCATATTTTGTTTCCTGTTGTAAACTTAAGACAATAACAAATTCAATAATCCAAAATTAATGATGATAAGAACCAACGAAATGCCACTATTAGGAAATATTAAATTTTACTATTAGCATCATTCCAGTGCTATTGTAGTGGCTGTGCTTCGTTAACCAATCACCCTCGTAACCGTTGCCATATGATCCTCAACGGTGTTTGAGATCAGAAGGCAAAGAGAGGCAGCAACTACGGTTTTATTAGCAGATAAGTCAGACCACAAAGCAATGAGGCAAATGAATGAGTCAGCGAACCGAGAGTGTAGAGAGTGTGGAGTGTAAACGTACATATATATATGGGTAATGAATGGATCATCGAATCAATTAAGCAGCTAATAATAAAGCTAGCAGAATGAATATATGCGTAGGCGGTAAGCAATGTTCAAGTATACATATTTCATACAAGCACAACAGTAATAAAGGTACAATAAGTTGTTATAGTGTGGATGACTTTGTCCGCTAAATAAGTTAGCAAAAGGGCTTAACTGAGTTAAATGAGAACAAACTCAACTGCACGTGAGTTGCTATACTATCGTCAATATACGATTTGGTAATTTAGGGTATGTGATTGTTTACACGTTATTGTATTTAGCATCAGCACCAGACATCAAATTTTTGCAATAAAGTGAGCATACGAAGAAGAAAGTTAATATTCGACTCAAATACATGTAAGAGCATAACTTTCACTAGAGATTTCCTTTCAACCATCTAAAGCTATCTATATTAGTCTTCTATGAACACGCTTGTGTAGCGAATCCTGGCATATTGAAAGACAAAAACTAGTAAAATCTGGAGCTTAAAATGAAATCTCGAGTCTAAATCACACTTATATACAACAGTTGTTCATTAAATAAACAGAAAAGTCACAATTGATTGATCACTGGGTGGTGATCAATGTCATGCGTGTCTAGTCCTTATTAGTGCAGATCGAATGTTATCGATCATGTTTCCTGTTGACTACCTCCAACCACCATCTAATCTCAATACATAGTGCCCGCAGTGTCGAGTCACCTAGACTGGTGGCCACATTGCAACATGATCGATAGCATTCGATCTGCACTAATAAGGACTAGACACGCATGACATTGATCACCACCCAGTGATCAATCAATTGTGATTACATCTCAGTCCTACAGGAGGTTAGTCACGGCTCGGATAGCTCAGTGGTAACGTCTCTGACTGTGAAGCTGGGTGACACGAGATCGAATCCGCCAGGGAGCACCAGTTCCCTCAAGATTACAGGTACACCTTGCTGACGAGTGTCAAGTAGCACGAAACCCGGTTCCAGGGTTTCCTGTTGACTACCTCCAACCACCATCTTAAACAGAAAAGTGACTGAAAATGATGGATATTGCACACTCATTGAACACTAAAATATGGAAGCCGAATCATATATAATAAAGTAATTATCATAACTAGTACTTTCTTCTGTTGTCAGTACGTAATGTGTTTTATTGTATTTTTCTCAAGATACCACTCATTTTTTATCTGAAAAGAATCTGAATATATTTTCAACTTATTTCAAAATTCAATGAATAGCGTTTACGTAATTACTGGTTTATTTCAATAAAAATGTCTAAAAATTACCTTCTTCGGATTTTTCAATCGTGAAGTCGTAAATTCCAAACTACTAACTGGTTGTTCACGAGGTAGTTTAGAGGGTTTTGGATGTATATAAAGGTCATCCGAACTTTTCCCTGTTATATTACCGGTAGAAACAAAACGTTCTTTTCGTCCAATAGGAGATTTTGACCACCAAAATTTGTCGCTTTGATGGGATAGTGAAAACGCTGGAGGTGTAATTGACATTCCATTTGCCCCACCCCGATGATTCTTAGATACTAGTCGTCGAAGACTACCAGTACCAGATGAGATAAATCGTGGGGATACTTGATCTGAGTGAGGACCAGAAAGGTTAGTATACACGGCCAAAGGTCGTAGGATTGAAGCAGCTTGACTTGAACCACCAGTTATTGTATATGCATGAGGCGGTAAGACGTCCATTTCTGGGTCTAATGGTTCATTTAGGCGATCAGAAAATCTCACTTTATGACTCTCAGCTTGCAAAGGAGTTTGATTTTCAGATTTCGTTCTGGAACGTCCCCCAACAAACGTCTCTACCCAAAACTGTCTAAAACGTGAATGTACTGTTTGTACGGTTTTCGGCTCGGAACTCTGCTGTCCATATGCATTAGGACTAACTGGTCCTTCTAATGATATGACCACCGGGGGTTCACAACTTGGTGTTGCATTTCCACTTACAAAAAAGGCAGGATGACCTGGTCGGTGAATAGTTGAATGAACGCTACTTTGTCCACTTGCTCCGGAATTCGATGCTGAGGATATATCTTCACGGTTACTAGACGTTTTATCCCTTGAATCAACCGCTGTATGAGGATGAGTTTTACGACTTGCTGTAGCTGTCGTATTAAGTCCTAGGTTGGCTAGACCAGATCCGCGACACCACATAGCCTATTAAGACAAGATAAAATTACATCTGTCATTTATTTAAATTGCTGGTTTGTAGTAAAAAGTAACTAAATGTTTCTAATGAGTTACCTGAAAGTTAATCAAATTAGATATCATTACATACTAAGACTTTCTAGTTTACATCAAGATCTTCATCAAGTAAAGCATCTACAATCCCAACTAAACTCGAAAATGTAACAGTCTCTCGAAGAAAGTATAATTTTAATGGCTTTAGTAATTTAATCGGTTTATTTCAATTATGATAACCTTCAACAATTTTTAAACATTCGATTCTCATCCTAACTTAAAGTTACTATTGCTTTTCTTTATAGTGTGTTTGTACTGGTTTTTTCATAATTAACTACTAAGAGTTATTTGACAGAAACAGTAAGAGAACTGGGATAAATGGCAATGGAACCTACTTGTTACAACTTATTTTAGTAAATCAACTAAGAAATGAGAGTGAACATAGAGAAAATAAAATCAATAAAAAGCAATATGGGGATAAAACTGAAGTGACTTTAAAGAGCAGATGAATGGTGACTAGCGTTGGTATCACGGACCTATCGTCCCATTTGGAACATGCATCTCAAAGTTGATATTCACGCTGCGACTTGAACCCAGTACCGTTAACTCCAAACGTCATTACGTTATCCACTTAGCTACTGAGTCCACTAGCCTGTACAATGTGGTGATGTTCCATTCATTTTTTATTGGTTTCATGACACTTCCGATTGATGTTTAGGACTGAAATTGATCGATCGCTTATCGTCATATATGCATCCTGTGTGCATCGCCTCTATAATGGCTTCAGTCCCGAATAAGACGAAACACACGTCCTGGATTCCACTGATAGTCACCATCCATCTTTGCTTATAATGCTTGTGACTGAAGGCAATATTGAAGCAATCCACAAAGGATGCACAAATGCTAATAAGAGACCGATCAATTGCAGTCCTAAACACCAATGGGAAGTTTCAAGCACTCAATACTCCAAAAGAAATGCATATTTTTAAATTAGAGTAAATAGAATTGCTTTTAAAAGTAAAGTAAGATGAAGTGACTAATTATGTAGTTAGTGTAAAATTAGTTAACATTTGACCAAACAGAATGAATCAGTCACTTATGTAGGGTGTAGGAAAATACCAGTTAATCAATGGTTTTATTCACTGAGTAAGTCGATTTTAATCATAAAGCTCTCATTGTCCTTTCGGATAGCATCTGCAATACAATCTTAAAAATAGGATTAAGCTAATCCAATTTCTCTACATATAACTGACAGTTTGTTCTGTCGACCTTGATCATGATTGATTGTTGTTGACCCTTTTATCCAGTTATTGTTTGACAATTTATTAAAATTGTTATTCTCTTTGACTTGATTTTTCCCCTAATGTTTGTGTTATACACCGAGGAGGATTATAAATGTTAAATTTTGAGAACTATTTATGGACCAACATGATACATATATTATTACTGTATAATTGTTAAGTAGCTAGAATATGCATATTCATGTTCCCCTTGTTATGATCTTTATTTTGATCCATAAACTATTATTATGCGATTTACCACTCTTGAGTTATACCCAGTCTATTAATTACAGTTTACCACATTCACAGCCACTTTTGGCTAGATTTTGCACAAATGTTATTTTTTATTTTGTGGTGCAGTATAGTCTGTCTGGTTCGTATATAAACCCAGTATGTTTGAAATTCATTATTCTTATCGCAGAGATTGGTGTTCTGGACTGAACAGGCAGGGTCGGGCAGGGAGAAGAACCGATAAGGACTCTAGAGATGCGTCATTGAACTGGTCGATAACTCACTGTTCTCTAATTGGCAGTATCATTACGTTATACATAAATAGGGCACAAGGCTCATAAGTTATAACAGTTTTTCTATGATTTTCTTTGTCGGTTGACAAAATGGATAGATTACGATATGTTTACAGATTACTTATTTACGTGAAAACTAAGCTTCCGAATAACCTTTGGATTTTTTGTAATTCTTCTCTCTAAATTTTCGACATTTCCCTAGTCTAACTTGTGTCCGAAATTGTCGATTTGCATTGATAAAAGGGAAGATACATCATGTCATCTGAAAGCCAATTGATGATCATGGAGACCAGAATTAAATAGTCATTTACTTTATCTGATATAAAAGCTGTGGACTGAGGTCAATAAGTAATCAACAAACATATCGAAATGGATCCATTTTGTCAACCGATTAAGAAAATCATGATCAAACATTAACAGAAAAATCAAGTCAAAGAGGATAACAATTTTAATAAATTGTCAAACAATAACTGGATAAAAGGGTCAACAGCAATCAATCATGATCAAGGTCGACAGAACAAACTGTCAGTTATATGTAGAGAAATTGGATTAGCTTAATCCTATTTTTAAGATTGTATTGCAGATGCTATCCGAAAGGACAATGAGAGCTTTATGATTAAAGTCAACTTACTTAGTGAATAAAGTACCATCGAAATTGTTAACTTGGATTACAAATTCTTTTCTGTCTCTGTATCAAGTTGTAAACTCAACGAACAGAAAAAAAATACTTCCAGATATAAACTTTAAATTTTCTATATAGTTAAACTGCCAGTGAATATAAGTTAAGATCATTCATAGTTAATTATTCTACCCTTGGATTGTGATCATTATACATCTATTAGCTATTTCAACGTTAGATTGAAGCTTTCAACAAAATACTTTTAATCTCAAAATTTCTTTAAAGTTTTGGCGAGACTATAATTTATGGACAAACCAATTAGATTTAAGATAACAGGTCTTGGATTTTGGCACGAAATTCACTCATCCATTTAGCCAAATAGTATTTTAGCTGATGTTAGTTCGTGATGAAAAACCTTAAATCTAATATTTAACCCTAACCATCAATTGTGAATCATAATACTTATACTTCAAACTGCCTTAAAATCCTCATTTAGTCTTAGTAAGTAGACAGACACTCTCAAGATCATTTTGGCGTCGTTCAAAGATCGTCCATAAATTATAGTTTCATCAAAGTATTTTCTTTCAATTTCAATAAAAATTGTCTTTTAATTGACAGAATTAGTACAATATTTAATCAGCATTCGTCTTAAACTTAAATTCTAAAATATAAAGTTAGCTGGTTGTTTATAATTTTTGAGAAATAGTTAATCACTACTGTACATCAAAAGTAATCCATTAATTAAAAACATGAACATATTTTAAAAGGTTCAACATTTGTAAATTACATAGGGGATATTAAACATGCACATATGTATTAATAAGAAATCTAGAATGATGTTGATTTAACAATACAAGTAACATATTTTTGGTATATATATCATTTCTATTATTAGCAACCTATTGAATGCTTAATTTATTCGAAGGTATCAAATCAAACTTTGATAATGACACTGACAACACTGAATAATTTCAAAAGATTGAATTTAAGAGCATCTGAGGGAGAAAAAAAACTAGGCAAATGTAGAATAGTAGGATGTTCAAGTAACTTCATCTTATCCATTGTTATAACGCTAAATAATCAATTACTCATTGAATAATATGGGTATTAATTAGAAAACTTTCATTTTGTTAAAAGAAAATTCAACAGTCAACTAAAATAAATACATGAACTATATGATTCAAAATAATCTCCAATAGACAGTAGTTCATTTTATGCTAAGTAATTACTATCCCTCTAAATCATTCCTACACCAAATAATTAAACTGAAACACTACATTATGAATTGTAAATTACATGGAATATGCAAAATAATGAAAGTATTTATTGGTTACTGAAAAGTTATATCTACATTCACAATGACACTGTGAATTAATTCGTGAAAATTATCCTATCTGAAAAGTGTAAACACTATATAACTAATGAAAATTTATATTTTTTATTAAGATTAGGATGATTGATTTTATTAGGTTATTGTTTATGCATACTATTATTATTAAATTTTCCAAAGTTTACTTTCAGTATATTGGCCATGTATTCTAAGTACTAAAGTATAGTACATATAACTGACAATAAATACAACCAATCAAATTCATGAGATAATATTTTGCTTATAAAATAGTGAACTATCTAGTTACCAATACGTTTGTTTACTTACTTTGATTGATGAATGGATAGTAACTTGTTATTACTTAGTGTCAATATGATTCTTTAAAAAATGATAATAAACGATTTAATTTTGTTTTCTTGTTTTCAATGTCAATCTGTTCTATAGTTATACATCCGGAATGATCATTCAATAGAATGGCCACGTTTCATGCAAGTATATTGTTTAAAATTATAAAATATGACTTAAATAAGTCTATAGATTAATTGAATGATGGGAATAATAATTAGAATAAATAAATACAACATAGTGTGTGAGAAATAATATTGGAATAACAAATCAGATCACATGTTTGACCAAAGACTAAGTAATATACAAAGTATAATTGTAGAGCCTAAAAAGATCATTTGCTCTAGTACTCTTTATTCCCGAATATTCTCTAAGAATTCTTAAATTGTTGATGTTCAGAAAGTTTTATTTTGTCTGTAAAATTGATACTTTTAAAGCCTTATATTGTAGTGTGTGCAACTGAAGTCAACAGATATAAATAGTATGTATCATCAATCGAAAGTGGAATATCTGGCGGTTGAAGGTTGAAAAATCCGAAAAAAAACAGAACGAGATCAGAAAGCTATTGGTATGAAAACGAAGGAACAACAAAATCTTAAACAATCCATGGATATTTTGCAAATGAAGTATTTACTGTATGGTTCTCAAATTCTGTAATGTATTAAAATACATTTGATTGTTCCCCCCCCCCACCCTAACTGTATTCTTTTTCACTGCAATATTAGCAACAATTCGTGTATTTTTTCAAGGAAAGTTTCAATCATTATTTGAAAAATAACACCGTAAAAAATTTGTTTGATTCTTAACAAGAGTAAATTAATTTATAAATTTTCACAAACATGTTTTAGTACTATAGGTGGAGACAAAAAACTAAATAG